ATAAATAAACCATCTATATTTTTTTTAGAAAGTTTTTTTGATAAATTCCATTTTTAAGAGTTTTATTCCATCTAACCCATATTCTTTCTGACTTTTCTGTTAGGTCCTAATTGAGTTAAGAAAACCAAAACATCATCAATCTCTGCATCTCATTAATGCTGATATTTAATGTCGATTGTCATTATGTTTTAATAGTTTCTATGACTATTCATATTCCCCATATCTTCACTCCAAAAAAATGCATTAACTACACACCACTATTTAATGTTGATATATATTACACACACAAAATTAAACATGGTTCTTTATTGATTGTTATTATGTTTTGTTTTTAGGAAGCTTTTTTGATAAATTCTATTTTTAAGAGTTTTATTCCACCTAACCCATATTCTTTTTGACTTTTCCGTTAGGTCCTAGTTGAATTAAGAAAACCAAAACATCATCAATCTCTGCATCTCATTAATGGTGATATTTAATGTCGATTGTCATTATGTTTTGGTAGTTTCTATGACTATTCATATTCCCCATATCTTCACTCCAAAAAAATGCATTAACTACACACCACTATTTAATGTTGATATATATTACACACACAAAATTAAACATGGTTCTTTATTGATTGTTATTATGTTTTGGTAGTTCCTATGCATCCAAAAATTGACTATGTGTGATAACGTGAATGTGAATGTTCACAACAATATTGCATCAAATTACACCACCACAAGCCTCAACTTTCATTTGAATATAACACATGACTGTACATAATGACGTGAATATTCACATTAGATGACGTTGTGATAAAGATGATATTAAGGTTCACATCAAATGAGAGAGAATGTTCACATTATTTTAATGTGTTGTCAATTAAAAATATATTCACATCAGATGAGAGAGAATGTTCAGATTATTTTTAATATGTTATCAATTAAAAATATATTCACATTATATAATAATATAAAATAATTTGTGTATGAAATTTCTTATGCCTTAGTTCATTCCCTTCTCCCTCCTCCATCAACATTAAATATCAATATTAAATATAAGGGCATAAAAATCTAAGAAAATAGTGTAAATCAAGAAAAAGAACTTTATAGTATAAAAGTATAAATACATGGGACTCAGTAGGTTAAAAAATTCTTTCATAGACTTATTGGATTAAAACACTTCTAAATGAGATTTATCAATATAAATCTCTTTTTTTTTTAAGAAGAGCATAATAAAATAAGAATATTACAATTATTAGATCGATTTAAATTTTTTTTTTTATAAATGATATATATAGAGAATCCTACAAAATAAATAATTTAAATTATCAAAATAAAACTTATAATAAATTTCACAAACCTCTTAAATTATCCCAAATTCATATTTCAACGTAAGATAAACTCAACAAATCCCCTCGAGGTATCATGGAAAAGATGATATGATTACAGATGCACCTTTAATATTTTGTTTATCCTTTTCGATAACATAACACAACAGAAATTATTTTTAGAAAATTATTAGTGAACTTTTATTATTATTTTTTTTTTGTTGATTTTTTTTCATATTTATTGAACATTTAAAAAAAAGTTAGCTTTTAGATCTTACCAGATGAGAATATCCTACATTTTTTAGTTTTGATTGATTTTTTAAAAATCGGTTTTTTACTCTTTTTTTTTATAGTGAATTTTTTAATATTTTAATCAATTTTTTAACTTTTTATATCCACATAACCTAAATGTATCTATAATGTAAAATATTTGTAAAAAAATATTTTAAAATATTAATAAATATACAAGAATATGAAAATGACCAACCCGAGCAACCCAAACCCGAATTGAATTTAATATATTATATAAATTACATAATATATATAAATTAAGTAAAAGAGTTAGTCTTAATTTTTATTTTTATTTTTTATTTTTTGGTTAGTCTTCTATTAAGTAAAAGAGTTAGTCTTAATTTTTATTTTTTATTTTTTTTTGGTTAGTCTTCTACCATTAGATTAGCATCTTTTATGTCTATCCTTAGATCTACCTACAGGTTTCTGGACTCGGGCAATTCGGGCAATTCGGGTAATTCGGGCTAACCCGAGTTCAAAATATAAAGCTTGGGCCGGGCTTGGGCAGCAATGCTCGGGTTCATGGTCGGGTTTGGGCAGGCTTAGACACTGCCAAATACAATTCGGGTCGGGCTTGGGCAAACCCCCAATCTGACCGAACTCGCCCGAGTTGCACCCCTAGATTAGAAGGAACTCAAAAGTATTTTTTTTTTAAATTGACACAAATTTTAAAGAAATTCAACTAACACCAAATTTTTTTTATTAAAAAAAAAACGTTTTTAGTTGTTGCCAATTTGGGATGTTGGGTTTAATGGCTTTTTTTAATTAAAATAGTCAGAAAAAAACAAAATATGCTAAAATAGCCAATAAAATAAAATGTACATCTAAATCATAATCATTTTATTTTTCTCACAACAATCAAATCAACTACAAAAGGAAAGGGGAAAAAAAAGAAGAAAAAAAAAAGAGTCAATTATTATCTCAAACATAACTTTTTTTAACCAAGCAAAAATAGCTAAATAACTAAAAAAATCAATTGAAATAGCCAAATTCTCAAACAGAGCCAATTTAAACTCTAACCTCATCCCTACAACTTCCATGTTAAAACTGGATCCAAGGCACCACTTTGGATCCATTATCTTTTATAGCTCAAAGGTAAAACTTTATTTACAGAAACAGAAGTTCTAATAATGAAGATTTAGACAATGATTTAACACACACCCAAAAAAGAAAACTTTAGGGTCACATGAGATTAGAGGCCACCAAGAAGAAAATACAAAGTGCAAACTTCTGAAATCTCAACTCCCTATTGGTGGAATGGTCCCACTCTCCACCAGCCAAACCAACAAATGCATGCTCTTTTTCTTTGCTTTGCTACCCTCCAAACGCCAAATGAAAAAAGGCAAAAACTGTGCACCCATGAACCCATTTGTCTTTTGAGTTTTGAAGCCAAGAAGAGCAAAATTACAAAGACCAAACCATTCTCTTGAAAATTCAGTATGGTGAATGTCCCCATTTGTGCCTCTTGCAGTGTCTACATCACCACAAAAACATGAAGCATCATGGGATATACCCACATGGGCCATTTGGGCCCACTCTTGGATGGGTTTTGCGGATCTCTATGACAATTAATTCTTGATTCAAAGAATTCCCTTTTTTACTTTTTTGACTTTTTCTTCTTCTTTTTCTTTGGAGAGCAACGTTGAATTATATTGGGGTCCAATTAGTGAAATTTATTATGAGTAAAAAGTTTAAAATCCGAAAATAGAAATTAAAAAAAATATCTCACTTAGTTTTTAGATAATTAATTTTTTTTTAATTTATTTAAGTTATTTCTGTCTAATAAATTATAAGTAGAAATTACATCAAAACAGTCCGTTATAAACTCTCAAATTAAAATAAGTTATAATCAACTTATTTAAACTAGAACAAACAATCCTATTGAGTTGAGCTTTTCTCCTACAGAGAAGTCATGGGTCTATTAATAGTTTATTTTAGTGATTCAAACTGTTCATTTTATAGAGTTTTTTAAGCAAATTATTCATGTAAAAATTCAAATTAATCAAACATTAGCAACTATTATTCTTTAAAAAATAAATGAATTATTCTCAAAATCATACTTGCTATTTTTGTAAGACAAAACGTAATATAATTATGTTAATATTAATTGATGTCTCATTAACTTATTTTTTTACAAAAATAATTCATTTAATAGATCATATAAAATAAACTTAGATTTAAAAGAACCCAAGATAAAGCTTATTGAGCCCCCAACACCAACTGAGGAGAAAGATCCTCTCGATTCATATTTACTCTAGGCATTAGTGAAAAAATATGGCAAGTTTCAACTTTTAGAGGGCTTTTATGCAAATTTTATAAAGGAACTTCAATTAAAGGAAAGGTAAAAGATGTTTTCACTTTGGATTACTAAAGTGCACAAATAGTAATAATAATAATAATAATAATAATAATTAATAGTTTAAAACTAATTACACAAGAAAAGAGTCCAAGTCATGTCACCGTTAGTTATTTTGTTATGGTACACCACAATGCGACAATTGACTTGTATGTTTTCTAAATTTATCAACAATATTACGTAACTAAAAAAAATATTTAAAATTTTCTAAAAAATGTTTTGGCCTCGTCCTGTTAATATAAAAAAATATATATGTCTAAAAATAAATTATTCATTATTTTTACAAATTTACTTTTGATTGCTTTCTACTTTTCTTTCTAAAACACGGGTATGCTATATATCCACTCTTTTCCAGTTCTACTTGAAAATATATAAAATTTTGAACTCAAATTGTAATAATTACTAGTTAATAATACTAGATAATGATATACACATCAATTCAATCAAGCTAAAATCGACTCAAGATCTGTTGATGAGTTTTATATTTTTATTACAATGCATTCTATTACGATGAAATTTAATAAATCATAATTAAAGTATAATTTAAAAACATTATATGATTATTAAAAATAAATAATAAAAAACTCTCAAAATATGATATAAAAAAAATTACAACCAAATATAAGAGAAATAAAACGCACACACAAGAAGGGAAATTTCAACTTTTAATTTTTTACGAGGATGTAAAACTCTTACAAATTAACCCTATTGATTAATTTTGAATGAGTTGTAAACATTTAAGTGGCAGAATAATAATTATAATTCTTATAAAGTATATTTTTTAAGTTTTTTATTTTATTTTTAAAAAAAAATCTTATGTGGATAATTTTAGTAATTACACACACCCCCACTGTAATCCACATTCCTTCCCTCCAATTTTTCTCATCCTCTCTAGTTTCACCCACAAAGCTTTTTCTTTAGTCAAAAGCACCCTTTTGGGGTCCCCATTCTTCAACCATGTATATACTTTATTATACTCATTAATTAATCTACTGTTTTTAAAACTCCATCTTTAAAGTTCAACTCACTTAACATATCAACTAAACTCATAATAACATATACAATTCCAAATGATTATCCAACTGTAAAGCAAACCTCCCCAAAGCTACACATCCCACCACCACCTTTGCTCCTCCCTCCTCCTCATCTTCCTCCTCCATTTTCAACCCTTTCCTCACTCCACCAAACCAAACCCTAAAAACCCACAATGCCTTCAAGGCAAAAACCCTTCCCTCCAAACCCTAACCCTAGTAATAGACCCAAAACCAGTCTCATCTTCCTCACCATTACCATCTTCTCTTCCCTCCTCATTCTCTTCGCCATTGTCTACTTCCTCTACTACCTCTGGTACTCTCTAATCCACCGCTCTCGAACCAACCCTTTCGATTCTACCTCTTCTTCTCTGGTGAAGTTGCAGAGATTCTGCTACAGAGAGCTCAAATCCGCCACAAACGAGTTCAGCAACTCCAATTTGATCGGAAAAGGCGGGTCCGGAACAGTGTTTCGTGGAATTCTTCGAGATGGAAAGCTCGTCGCTGTGAAAATGCTCGATTCGTCTTCGTTGCAAACAGAGAGAGAGTTTCAGAACGAGCTTCAGATTCTGGGGAGCTTGAGATCTCCTTTTGTGGTTTCGTTATTGGGATTTTGTGTAGAGAAGAGTAAGCGATTGTTGGTTTTCGAGTACATGCCGAATCGTAGTTTGCAGGAATTGATTTTCGCGGACAATTCGAATTTCAATTGGGGAAGAAGGTTCGAGATCATTCTAGACGTTTCTCGAGCTCTTCAATTTCTTCATCTCGAATGTGATCCTCCGGTGATTCACGGCGATGTAAAGCCCAGCAATGTGTTGCTCGATTCAGAGCACAGAGCGAAGCTTTCGGATTTCGGGTTGTCAAGAGTGAAGATTGAGGGTGAATTTGGTATTGATTTGTTTAGTCAGGACTTGGGTAAGAGTCAGGAGCTGTGGAAGAGCCAAGAACTTGAATCTCCGGCGATTGGAACTCCAGTGGAGAGTCGCAATGAGGTAGATTTCGCTCTCGCTTTACAAGCTTCTTCTTCGTCGAAAAATAGTAGAGTTTCTCATAATGTGAAAGCTCTGAATTTGAATTCTTTTACTTATAATGTCAACATTGCGAATGAGAATGATAATAGGAATAGGAATACAAAAGGTAAGGAGGTTTCGAATCTTGAAAATGGCGGTGAATATTGGAACAAGGTTGTGATTTATGATGATGATCTTTGTAGTACTAATGATCATAGTAAGGAGTTGAATTCGAATGTTGCTTCAGTTGTTGTTGATGATTCGATGAGTGCAAAACAATGGGGGAGAGATTGGTGGTGGAGACAAGATGATAGTGGTGAATTGTGTAGTAAAGATTATGTAACTGAGTGGATTGGGAGCCAAATTTGCCCATCAGTGAACCCTGATTGGGTCGAAGAAAAGAAGAGCTCAAATGAGAACACCAACATGGATAATTTGACTCGGTTAGATAAACTTGAAGGCGTGAATGAAACCGAGTTACAAGAACCTGGGATGGAATATCCCAAGAAAATACATAAGAAGCACAGGAAGATGCAGGAATGGTGGAAGGAAGAGCACCTTGATGAAATTAGCAAGAAGACTAATAAGCTAAGAAAGATTGAAACCAAGTGTAAGAAAGGTTTTAGAATGCCACGTTTTGATTTGATTCGACGCTGTCATTTTCGTAGACGAAGAAGATTTGGACAACAGAACCACAACAACGAAGGCGATCCCAATATGGAATTCAGTTTTAGGAGAGGTTGGAAGAACAAGAATGCTCACTCTGTGGGGAGTGAAATGTGGAGTGGAGATCTATTTAGTCGGGAACTAAGTAGCACGACTAGCATGAGGGGAACTCTATGTTATGTTGCACCAGAATATGGCGGTTGTGGGTACCTAATGGAAAAGGCTGACATTTACAGCCTCGGAGTTCTGATCCTTGTCATCGTATCTGGTAGGAGGCCATTACACGTTCTTTCTTCGCCAATGAAGCTCGAGAAAGCAAACTTGATAAGTTGGTGTCGACAGTTGGCCCAATCTGGAAATGTTTTAGAACTAGTTGATGAGAGATTGAAAGATGAGTACAGTAAAGACCAGGCAAGCTTGTGTATTAATTTGGCATTGGCTTGTTTACAGAAAATGCCCGAATTGAGGCCTGACATTGGAGAGATTGTTAAGATTCTGAAAGGGGAGATGGATCTCCCCCCTCTCCCATTCGAGTTCTCTCCTTCTCCGCCTTCAAAACTGTTACATTGCAGGTCTAGGAGAAAACAGAAAGGTAATGCAGACTAGGCTTCAAAAACACAATCTTAATCAATTTTTTTCTTTGTTTCGTACAACAGGGTTTTTTGTGAGTGTAAAAGAGGAGAGAGCGAAGCATGCTGTTTATCCAAAAAAAAAAAAGGTTGTTTCTGGGGACTGAAGGTGTGTGTATAATGTTGTTGTAATGTAAATTAGATGAAATGATGAATCACTTCTACTTTTTTTGCCATTAATTGGATGCAAATATTGAAACGAGTCCATTTTTCTTCCTCATTCTTGTGAAACTTCTACTTTGTTTTTCCTTTTTCGCGCTTATTTGTTAGTACTTCTCTTTTGTAATCTTGACATTAGGAATTTCAGCTGAAGCTGAATATGCATATTTCCTTTTGTGTTGTGTAGAATTGTTAAGAGAATGTAGGCCAAAAGGATGTGGGGGCTTGGGAGGAAACTTTTATAAAATTTTTAGCGAAATGTTTCAGTAACTTTTGTTCTGTTTGAAGATAGTTGTCAAAAACAATTGACAAATGTTATAGAAACTCCCCAAAATTAATTTTTACTATTTTCGCTACTCTGAAATAAATTTTTCAACAAGAATATATAGCTGTTCTAATAATCTATAAATATTGTTTAGTACTGGAATTTTAATTGATCATAAATTATTTTAGTACTTTTGTTATTACTTTTAGACTATGTTTCGAACTTGGATTTTAGAAGATTAGTGGACGGCAAGGAAAAGGCAAGAGTATTTTTAGGGTGATTATTCAGTACTCCCGGAATATGGACACGTGGTGCTCCATAAGGTTTTGATTGGTGGAGAAATACAAGGACCCACGATTTATGTTGGAGATAAGGAGACAATATGGGGCTAACTAATTAGTGATTGGTTTGGAGTATGGACACGTGATGCTCCGGGAGTATTGAATAATTTCCCGTATTTTTATTGCTTCTTTCCGTCTCTTTTCCTTCTATAAATTTTTGCTCTCATTTATACTCCAAACACATTTTTGAAGTTCTTTTATTTTACTAAAGGAAAAAAGTCTAGGAATATAGATTGATTATAAAATCGGACACAACTCTATACCTATTTAAGAGGATTGTGTTTAATTTCATAATTAGTTTTTGTACAAATAGAAAAACTGTTATTTAAGTATTAAAAAAAAAATAGATGTTAAAGACATCTCTCAATTTTTCCTTCATCTAAAATAAAGAAAAAATGTCTCTCAATTGCTCCAAAAAAAAAAAAAAATGGCTATTTCATGTAAGAACTAAAAGTGCATATCAATCAGAATCCTACTTCCATTAGTGATTTTTACATACTTGCAAGTTCAGACCAGAGATTCAGCGAGGGACAACATAACAGAGTTACTACAAAAGAAGCCTCTCTTTATTCAGCATTTCAGGTAAGCATCAAATCAACTTTCATATCAAGGCAACGTTGTCTATATGTGCTCACAAGGAAATATACTGTTCACTTTCAAGTACCCATATTCACTTTATAGAGGCAAAGGGAAGGACTATTCTGCCTTTTATAAGTTGAGAGTTGATATTAGAAAAAATATAATTAATTTTTTTTTTTTTTGAGTTATAAAATAATCAACTTTTTATAAGCAATTCATATAAGTTACATCAAATAAGGATAAACTACAAATATATCTCTTAAGATTTGTAAATATTTTGTTGTTAGAATTTGTCATTTAACAAAATTGATAAAATAAAATAAAATAAAATCTTTAACTATTCTCTTGTACATCGATGAAGTACCAAAACTATTAATTGAAATATGTTGTTGACATCATTAAAAATTATTAATTGACTTAATAGTTGATTAATGAAAAAAGTTATTTGATATGCAGTTAGAAATTTCAAATGGCAGGATATAATTACATGGGACAATTTGTATTTTAAGCATATCTCATGAGATGTATTTGTAATTTACCCATCAAATAATTAAACAAAAAAAATTTGTATTTGAATTTTAAATTTATAAAAGAAGAAGAAATAATAAGAAACAAATTTCATAATCCAAACCGAACATAATACTGGTTAGGTTGGTGCGCCATTAATTTCCTAATATAGATATATTAGGTTTTTGTTCTTGACAATCTCCTTTGACAAAATTTCTTTCAGTTGTAATTTTATTTGATCTTTTATTTCAGTGAAACTATAAGTTTTTAGATGCGAATCCACCCCGAATTGTGCTTATGCAGAGGAGTTTGTGATCTTAATCCTATCATGTTTGCCACTTCGCTGACTATGTCGAAGTTATTTGACTGCTCGAGCGGTCATTCCTGCGCTCGAGCGGAGATCGCGGCCTTTCAGAAGTTTTACTCGCCTGCAAAAGTACTAGGAGTTGTATTTTTTCACTCGAACGGCCTTTCTTGCGCTCAAGGGTAAATCCTTGTTCTGAAACATGCATTTTAGTCAGTCCGCTCGAGCGGCCATTCTTGCGCTCGAGCGGAGATCGCGATCTTGTTTTATATAAATATGTGGTTCTATCAAATTTAAGGATTACAGCTTCTAGATCTTCTTCTTTGGTATTAGGGTTTTTATTTGGAGCTTTTTTACTTGTTTCCTTTGATATCTGTGAGGGTTTATTTCATGAATTGAGTGGATTATATCAAAAGGTTTGTTTGCTTTGTTTTATTCACAAAAGAGAGATTTGTTCTTAATAGATTCCGTGGAACTTGAGCCTGAAGCTTTGGTGGATTCCGAAGTGGCTCATCATTGTGGATTCGATATAGGCGTTGTGGTTTCAATGTTGGGCAAGATAATTCCAAGGTGAAGACAGTTGTGGAAGAGGTACGTTGGGGTCGGTTTCAATTTGGATATGAATTCGCTATGTAATTGAGAGTACACTTGTGTAATTTTTTTTTGGTCTTCTTAGTGGATTGTTTTGTGACTTTGACCCGTGATTTTTTTATCACAATTGGAGGTGCTCCAATTGTGGTTTTGCTATATTAAAATCGTTGTATCGATTTGTCTTGATTATTTAATTGAGATTATTATTTATTAATTAAAATTGATATATAATCACAAATCAATTTATCAGGGATTTTAGATTTTTCAAGATAGATACTCCATTATTTGGCATGGTTTTTTGTTGACGGATCACTAGTAAGGACTTAGGAACCACACAAAAATCGTTGTCAATGACCAATTCAAATTGCTTTTATAAACCTTCAATACCAAAATTTACTCTCCCAAATCGTTGTCAATGACCAATTCAAATTGCTTTTATAAACCTTCAATACCAAAATTCACTCTCCCAAATTGTTGTCGACGGCAGAGCAAATTTAAAACCAATCTAAAATAAAATAAAAACAGAGAAGGGACTCATTTAAGATATGATAATGACAGTATTGACTTGATTTCTACACTACAAATAGGCATACAATGCCACAAGACCATTGTTTTAATAGCTATTGGGTTCATGCCATGATGGACCAATCAGTCTAGTGGTAATATCATCCGATAATATTAAACAGTGATAGGAATGATTCCTTTTTATAATTTTATCTTTTATATTTTTTTATACTTCATTTTTTAGGTTTCATTTTAGGTCTATATTGATAATTTAAACCGTTCATCTCGTAATTTTAACAATTTAAATGAGTTATGCAAAAAATTAATTTCATCAGATATCACTAGATATATAAATAAATTGTATCTTATTTTTTAAAATAGACAATAACTGTGAATTTAAACTTAAACTTTTCATTCTTTAAAACAAAAAGTGATTTGTTTATGTATTCATCGATATCCGATAAAACTGATTTTTTACACCGTTGGTTTTCATTGTGAGATTTACAAGATGAACGGTTTAGATTACCATTGTAGGCATGGAATGGAACCCAAAAAATAAAGTACGAAGAAATGTGGAGGATAAGATAAGAGTATGGAAGGGAGCCACACCGGACAAGGATAGTAGAAAATCATAGTTGAGTTTAGATAGTAGAAAATCATAATTAATCGACAGCATCGCATCTGGTAAGGTGTCACCATTACTATTAATATTTATTCACATAGATAGAGTTTTATGCTTGCACATATTTATTTTTATTTATGTTATTTTTTTGTAATTGCTCTTGTATATACAGGAAATCCCTTTGGTATATGCAACATGAAATATAAAATGAAAAAGTGAAGCAATTGTAGACAATATAAGAGAAATTTCTAAGAAAGGCGTTTAAGTAACTTTTGGTAAATTTAAAGAAAATTGTCAAAAAAAAACTCTTCACAAATGTAATAGAAACTCACTAAAAATGTCCTTTTCATAAATTCTACTATTTTTCTTATTTTCAATCTTATTTTTCAACAATAATATAAAATTGTTCTAACAATTCCAACTTCAGAGGTAGGTAAGCCGAGTCAGGAAGAAGTTTGACTGCTGGGAGGGGATTGGATCCTACTCAAAGCACTCCAGCACGAATAAGAGTCTTCGAAGAGGGATAAGAGGGGGTTTCAATATTTTCTGAGAGGGGATTGGATCCTACTCAAAGCACTCCAGCACGAATAAGAGTCTTCGAAGAGGGATAAGAGGGGGTTTCAATATTTTCTGAGAGGGGATTGGATCCTACTCAAAGCACTCCAGCACGAAAACAGTTCTCCACCTTACTATATTTAGTGAAAAATCTAAAAATTTTTTAAATATTGATTTGTGATTATATATCAATTTTAATCAATAAATAGTAATCTCAATCAAACAATCAAAGACAAATCAACACGACGATTTTATGTAGAAAAATTACAATTTGAGCACCTGTAATTGTAATAAAAAAAAAGGGACAAAAATCACAAAACAATCCACTAAGAAGACATAAAGGAATTATACAAGTGTACTCTCAATTACCTAGCGAATCTACGTCCGAATTGAACCGACTCCTATGTGCCTCTTCTAGTCCCGTCTTTACCTCGGAATTGTCTTGTCCAACGTTGAATCCACAACGCCGATGTCGAATCCACGATGATGAACCACTCCGGAATCTACCAAAGCTTCAAGCTCAAATTCCACGAAATTCACCGAAAGAACAACTCTCTCTTTTGTATTGTAAAACAAACTAAACAAACATTTTAATATAATCCACTCAATTCATGATTAAACTTTCATAGATATCAAAGGAAACAAGTAAAGAAACTCAAGATGAAAACCCTAATATCCAAAAAGAAGATCTGGAAGTCGTACCTTAAAATTTGATTGAACCGCACCTTTTATAGCAAACTGTTCCGCGATCTCCACTTGAGCAGCGCTCGAGCGCAAGAATGGCTGCTCGA